TATTTTTATTTTTTTAAAATGAAAAAAGAGATTCACACTAAAAAGAAGTTGATTAAACCACTACAACAAGTGTGGTTACAGTCCAAGTTGAGTGATTTTATTAATAAAAAATAAAGTTTAGTGACTTTGATAAATAAATTTCAAAGTTGAATGACCCTTTGAGGTATTAACTCGTTATAAAAAAAAGTTGAACAATAGTTTTCCAAATTCTTTGAATGACCCTTTGAGGTATTAACTCGTTATAAAAAAAGTTGAATAATAGTTTTCCAAATTCTTGAATTTGGAGAACAACTATTCATACAATCTATATCACTTTTTCAATAATATATTATTATATTTATTTTTACGTAGTTAATAGATTACTTTTATATAAGGCTATTGACTAATTCTCTAATATTAATAAACTTTTGAATGTAATATAACATTTTAAATATGTAATATTTAATAGATACTATTTTTTCTGAATTAATAATATATTTTATTAATTTCCTCATTTTAAGTGATATAATTTGATCTGACTATAAGTTTCACTAGAATCCACATAATTTAAACGATAATATGAAAAGATTAAATTTAAAAATACAATACATACATAATAATTTAAATACAAGATAACAATACACTACACGACATAATAGTTTTTAAAATCACAACAATAATTTAGTAGTCTCGTAGGTCGTTTCCTGATTCAATAATATTTGGAAAAAAATCAATGTCTGGTCCAAAGAATTGTTGTGGTTGTAATTGTGGTTATACTTGTTGAACAATTTTTATCTAGACATGAAAATATTAAGGACAAAAATGTTCATTTTGAACTCCATAATTGTAATGACCTTTCAAGTCATTTTCATCGTTTTCCAATCTTTTCAATGTTAGAGATTTCCTATAGTGATCACAAGTTATTTATGACTTGTTGGGACTGACAGTTTGGTCACTGAGTCATTTGTTTAAATTTTGTGTAAGTTTTCGTATTTTGCAGACTTTGAAACTTGAGTGATTGACTTCATTTAAAGCTTTAGGAAGGCGACTTCTAAATGCAGTTTTTACGGTTTCATTAGCCCCAAAACGGCCATTTAAGTGAAAGTAGGATTGGTTCGAATCGCGAAACTTCTAGTGTGAGTTTGTGTCTTAAGGCGTGTTAACTTTGAAGATTAATTCAAGGGTTGACTTTGGTCAATATTCTTGATAGATGTGCTCGGATAAGAGTTTTGTCAGGGCGGTTAGTTTTGAAATATTGAGTTTGGTGTAGAGTAACCATTTATGCGGTTCCCTGGGATTCCAGTCTCATTTTTAGCCTTCTTGTTGTTCTTAGCTTAGAACTGTACTTGGGTGTGGGAACCCACTTTTAATCGAAACAACCTCGAATGAAAGTTTTGATGATTTTGTTGAGCCTAGAATATCAAATTGGGTGGGTAGCATATTTTATTTGAACGCACGAGGTTGCGAATGAATCCCGGACACCCCGTCGAAAATTTAGAGTTGGAGCGAACCAGCTAAAATGTTGATAGCTAATTAAGACCAGATATCAAACTTTTGAGCTATCAGAGTTTACTTTTAGCGACCAATTTTGGGCATTTATATGTACAAAATTTCAAATGATGATTTCTCCCTCATTTAAGCTCTGATTTGAGTGATTCAAAGTCCGGTGTGTCTGTTGGGAGCATGGATACTTGGATTTATAATTAGAAGCTATTGAACAACATTCTTTTGAGGTAAGTTTAAGCTCGGAGTTTCTGCCTTAGTTAGGATTTCTTGTTAATTTTGCATGTTGTTGTTGTGGCAGTTTTTAAGCTTCAAATTTTGTTCAATTTGGAACAAAGGTTTGAGGTCTAGTTTAGGACCTTTTAAGAGAGTCAATTTTCTAATTCCCGTTTTGACTCAATTTTTGGTCAATATCTAGTTGTTGTGTCTTCAGTTTCGAAACGTCCGTAATGACAGTGTGATTGATAATTCGATAGTTGTTGATATTCGGAGGTGTTTCCGATATGGATAGCTTATGTGTGGTGGATTTAGAGTGCTCGTGTTTGGTTTTAAGGTAGACTTCCGTCTACATTATTGATTGAGCTTCTTAGATGATGCATATTACATATTTCATGTAATTTTGGATGATGTTTCCCGGTTTAGCCTTCCTCTTGTTATTCCATCCTTTCTTAATTTCGTAGAAGCCTTGGGCTTATTGTTGGTGTTGTGATCCTTAGTTTAGGTTATGGCTTTGCTTGTGGTATAGAAGATCTTGTTTGTCCTTGTTAGGATTAATTTGTGGTGGCCTTAGACTAGGATGGACATTAGATGCTTTAGGTTGTGTTTTGTCACCTGATTTTCACTCTTTAGAACTTGTTTTGGATTGTTGTCCTTGTGATGATGCTTGTGACCTTAACGAATCATCATAGTCATGGGTTGGTCTTAGTTGTGCTCAATTTGGGATTATATCGGCGTGATTGAGGTAGGGCGTCCCTTGAGTTTGCTCCCTCCTGATTGATTTCTTGTTGATTAGCGACAGACATGTTATATTCTTATTGAGCTTACGGTTATATTATTGGGTACGAGCCCGTATATGAGGACCATTTGGATCCCAGGTTAGTACTTTTTGCATTGGTATAGTGGTTTCATGAGGCACACTATATATGGACATCTAAGGGGTGTGTTATCAATCCATTGAATAGTGGATTGTCCATTTGGTTTATTCATGAACTACCAAATTCATGTATGTATAATCCCTAGGTAATATAAACCCCTTTTTAGATAACTATATGGATAACAATGAATTTACTAGTTTGGACATTGAACTTGGTGACTTTGAAAATGATTTCTCTACTTATAAATAGAGATATCATTCTCCATGTAGTACACTTGAATAATATTCAAAATTTATTGATGAATTGGTGTACTCTTTTTTTTTCAAGAATTGATTTCTAAACTACTCATTAAGTTAAGGCTATGATTTTCAACTATTATGTTATAGTTTGATTTTGTAATTAAACTTAAACAAATTTAATGCTAAAAATAGTTTAGTGTTAAAAACGAAGATAAAATGTATATTTAAATATTCTTAGAAAGAAAATTATTTATTTATGTAGTAAAAAGTGTAAGAGTTGGTTTTAAAATTGGCCAAAGTCATATACGGACACTCAAACTTGTCCCGATTATTCACTTAGACACCTCAACTAGACGTACTACCTATTGAACACCTTAACCACCCCAGATTTGAACCGTAAAACCTTTTTTTAATCACTTTTCATTAATTATGTGGCGCGTGTAGTTAACCGCCCCACGTATATCTGACATGTATTTAATGACCATTTAAAAAGTCCCACGTGTATCCCACGTGTATTTGTTAATGCCTAAATTTGAGAAAATTCCCAAATCGTTAACTTTCACAAAACAGTTCTCTCTCTCTCTCTAACTTCACGCTTTCTTTTGATTTCAAGCTCTCCATCTCACGATTCATTCCAGTTCCTTGTTCGATTGTTGTTTGATTCCTATTCTTCGTGTTACGATCTATCCTACGGTAAGTTTGATTTTTGTTTCTTTACATGCTTTCTTATATGAATTTCACAAAGCTGTGGTTTTGTAAAAATCTAGGGTATTGCGAATATTCTGTCCATTCTTTACTATTACCCAAAATTATGATCTAAAGCTTTGTTTTTTAGTTGTTTGTATGAGTATATTCCGTTAAATCTAGGGTTTGCTTGATATTTTGTAGGGGGCTGCTAACAATTGACCATGGAGGAAATCATATTTACGAAGATTTACCATGGTGGAATCTTATCTGAGTTATCGGTTGTCCCTACTTATGTTGGAAACTGTGTGTCTGCACTAAGGTATATCATCAAGTACCACTTTTCCATTTTGGAACTGTTGTATTATACTAAAGAATTAGGGTATGAAACTGTTGGAGGCTTTTATGTGAAAGACTTATCGAATAAAAAATGGATCCTAATTACAACTGACCAACATTTACTACACCTTATTAAAGACTTAAGACATGAGGACACTTTTGAAGTATATGTCTGTCATGTATTAGATAAACCCTTACTTGACACTGAGGTAACTATAGGATATCTAACTAATGGTGAAGATGGTGAGTCTGTTAACTTAGGTGAAGAAGGTCAGGCTTGTAACCTTAGTGGTGAGGGTGGTGAGGGTGAAGCTGTTAACCTTACTGGTGAGGGTGAGCATGTTAGCCTAGGTGGAGAGGAACTGGATGATAACCTAGGTGGAGAAGATGCATCCGATTTCTTGAGTGGTGATTCAGATTTAGATATACCTTCAGAAGATGGTTTAGATATTGATGAGGAGCTGAGAGAATTTAGAGAATAAAGAAGAAACAAAAAACAGAGAAAAAAGGCTACTGAATTTGAAGAAATACCAGTAGGAGAAGCTGGTGGTATAGATAGAGGTTTTGAGGATATTGGAAAGAACAAAACTGACAAATATGTTGGAAAATTCGGTGGAGATGAAGATTACATTGATAGCTTTGACTGTTGGAGTGATGATAGTGATGAACAACTAGATGTGGATGTTGTTAGGGGAGTAGACATACCTGCTAGAAGGAGAAGCAGAAAGGTTAGGTATGATGAAGATAGTGAAGTGTCAATTTTTGAACTTGGAATGGTCTTTGAAGGGGCAAATCAGTTCAGGAAAGCAGTGGCAGATTATGCTGTAGAGTATAGAAGACAGTTAAAGCTAACCTAATGAAAAACATAGAGTGAGGGTGAAGTGCAAAAATGTTAAGTGTAAGTGGTTGTTATATACTTCGATTGACAGGGACTCAAGGTGATTTTATTGTAAAGAACTATCATCCTATTCACAAGTGTATTCCATTAAACGGAAATAAGTTGTGTAATTCAAAGTTTATTGCTAGAAAGTTTAAGGACAGAATTATATCTCAACCATACATAAGGATTTGGGAAATTCAATATTTGGTTAGAAATACATTGGGTCTTTATGTTGGTAAGACTCTTTGTTACAGGGCTAAACAAAAAATTATGAGGGAAGACATGGGTGATTGGAATCTGGAATTTGCCAGATTGTGTGACTATGCAGATGTGATCAAACAAACCAATCCTGGAAGCTCTTGTTGGGTAAAAATTGATAAGGAAACTGAACCAGGGAAGAACCTTTTTGTATATTTTTATGTATGCTTTCATGCATTTAAGCAAGGATGGTTGGAGGGGTGTAGGAATATAATTGGATTTGATGGTTGTTTACTCAAGGGAGCTTGTAAGGGTGAATTATTAGTTGTTGTTGGAAAGAATGGGAACAATCAAATGTATCCCATTGCCTGGGCTGTTGTGGATACAGAAACAAAACATAGTTGGAGCTGGTTCATAAGTTATTTAATTGCTGATCTAAACTTGGGAACTGGTGAAGGTTTGACTGTGATGTCAGATATGCAAAAGGTATTGTTTATACAATTTCTTCTTTTTTTAGTTTAATATTACTACTCCAATTACTTATTCTGTATATACTTTTTGTTAGGGACTTATTCCTGTATTGTTGGAGTTGTTACCATAATGCTGAGAAAAGAATGTGTGCTAGACATATATGGAGTAATTTGCATGTTAACTGGAAAGGAGAAGAAAGAAGGAAACAGTTTTGGAGATGCTCAAATGCCTCTTTTGAAGTCAAGTTTGGTGAAGAAGTTCATGCAATGTCTAAGCTAGGTAAGAAGGAAATAACAGAGGACTTACTACATTATCATCCCATAAATTGGTGTAGAGCTTTTTTTTCAGACTCATTCCAATTGTGATGTTGTAGAAAATAACATGTGTGAGACTTTCAATTCCTGGATCTTAGCTGCTAGACATAAATCAACTATTACCATGCTAGAGGATATTAGGCATAAAATGATGAACAGACACATAGACATGATCAAATTTGCTGAAACATGGATATCAGACATTACACCTATGACAAGGGCAATGCTAGAAAGAAACAAGGAGTATTCAAAGAACTATAAAGTTCAATGGAATGGGGTGAATCGTTTTGAGATTAGTGATGGGGAATACTCATTTGTTGTTGACTTGGAGAAGAAGCATTGTGACTGTAGGTTGTGGATGTTGAGAGGTATTCCTTGCCCTCATGCTATTTGTGCTTATTATTACTTGAATCGAGATCCTGATCAACATGTAGAGCACTGGTATACGAAGGAAAAATTTCTCAAGGATTACAATCATTTCATCCAACCAATACCCAATATGAGAATGTGGCCTAAAACTACAAATCCATCAATAGAGCCTCCAAAACCAAGATAAATGCCAGGCAGACCTCGCAAGAAGAGAAGAAAGAGCAATGAGCCCAAAAAATAGGGGAAAATTTCCAGAAAAGGAGTAAAGATGACATGTTCCATTTGCAAGAAAATTGGTCATAACAAAGTTGTGTGTGCAAGAGTAAGTAATACTAGTCATATTCACATCTGTAAATTGCTTAAAGTTTATAATCATATGTTTTATTTTGTGGTGACATAGTATGGGATGGGGAGCACTTCTCAACCTGCAAGTCAAGGAAACAGCCAACAAAGTTATTCTCAAACAAGAGTAAGATTTTCTTTACATATTCATTTGCCTTAATTTTCATTTAGACAGTTATTCATATGTACTTATTTTTGTTCAACAGGTTAGAACACAAAGTTCTGTTTGTCCTGATACCAGTGTTGTGCCAAGAACTGTGCCAAGAACTACCCAAACAACAGTAAGATTAGATACGGGCTATCCTTTAAAAATTCATTTGCATTTTAAGTTTGTTGTATAAGTTTTCATATATCTTTATTTATGTTATATAATCTACAATGGGAGGTCCATCTACAATGGGAGGTCCATCACATTCTACTTCCAGAACCACATATGCAACTACACAATCAAGTCAAACAACTTCTATTTGTGCTGACACAATATTTGTGCCAAGACCTGCTCAAAATAGGGTTCAAGTTGGAACTGGAAGAGGATTGGGAAGAAAAAAAGCTAATGCAAGAGGAACCCTATTTGTTACAGAAAGGGATAGTTCTTCTAGTGAATTGTCACCTTTATCAGGTCACAAGAGACCATACAGTTCTGCCTCATTTGCTGCTGCTACTGGAGAAAACAGAAGTCCTGCAACTGGTTTTGGTGTTTACTCTAATCCTACAACTGGAGCCCAAGTATTAAATGTATGTTCACTTAACATGTTTATCTGTTTTAGCGTATATTTTATAGCCTTATAATCTAACTTTTTTTTACACTTTCTATCTTATGTTGCAGCCTGGTACATCAAGTGAGAAGATTCTACATGGGCCAACAACATTGAAAAGTGCTTCACCAACCAATATAGACATTGGTTTTAAACCTCGTGGCCTAAAATGGAAGGGAAAAGATGCAGTCAGCACCTCACAGTTACAACAAATAAAAGCTAAAAAGAAAAACTGGAAGTAGTTCATTTGGGAAGTTGGTGTTTATTTGAAAACAATTTACTCTTTGGTTTATTTGAACACTCATCTAATGTATTTTTGAACATTGTATTTGTGTTAGCAAGACTATGCCTATTGTAAGACAATGGTTTTCTATTACCTCTCAATGCATTTGTGTAATGTATTTCCATTACTTACTGTGTGTTATGTATTTTTCAGTAATGCATTTGTGTTATTAACTTAATTTTTGAACAACAACTACACTACCTTTCAATGCATGCCTTTTGTTTTTTTCAGTAAGACTACTGATCAATTCAATTCCAGAAAAAAAATCAAGACACATGGCAAGTGATCAATTCAACTCAAACTTTCAATTTGATACAAAATATGAAGGACATATACCAATTAAAACATCACTAATTGATCTAGAATAACTACCTAACTACTGCAAAACTAAACAATTAAGTATTACAATCCTGAACTACTATCAACTACAAAATATTAAAGAACCATTTTATAGTTAGTAGACAAAGAAAAACAATCACAATTCGGTTAAATTTGACATTTTCCCAATCCCTTTGGAGTTTAACTTCCTTAAGCTTCTTGTTCAATACCATCAATTTCACTTCATTTTCATTCAATTGAAATTTCAAAGAATCTTTTTCTTCTTCAAGCTCTTTCACTTTTCTCTTTAGTCGATCAATCCGATTTTGACCGTCTATGAGTCTATTCATTGAGGATGATTCATCAACATTTTCAAGCGACGGATCAATCCATCTAAAATATCCACATCCACCATTTTCCTACAAAACATATAACAGTAGTAAGGTGTAATAAATTTTTCAAATAGTACAACAAGAACAGTTTTTGTTCGAAAAATAACAAACCTTTGATGATTTGCATCCAAAAAATCGACGACCTGGGTTCAAAGGAGTCCTCAAAGTTTTCAGTCGACAATAATAACCACACTTGCATATATCAACTTCATCGATATTTACTGAAATTTGCGACATTTGATAAAAGAAAATTAATTTAGAGAAGAAGAGAGGAACTTGGATATTTAGAGAAGAAAAGAGACACTTGGAGATTTAGAAGTAGAAGAGAGAATTGGAGATTTAGGGTTCTAAATGGATTTTGGGGAAGAGAAATTGGGGAAGAGGATATTGGGGAAGAGAATTGGGGATTGCACTTCAACTTTAACATTGAAGTGTAATGTTAACGTTGCTGCCATGTAGGCAGTGTAAAAAATGAGAAAAAAACAAATTCACGCGCTCCATTTGCGTGAATCACAAACGATTTGCCATGTAGGCTAAAAATAGTTTTATGGTTCAAATTTTGATAGCTGAGGTGTTCAATAGGTAGTACGTCTAGTTGGGATGTCTAAGTGAATAATCGGGACAAATTTGAGTAGACGCATATGACTTTGGCCTTTAAAATTTATACTGAAACTCAAATTAATACCCAAACATCATATGCAAGAAAAATAAATAAGGTAAAATGTGTATACATAATTTATTTATTTTTTTATCATGAAATCTATTAATATTTTAAATAACCTTTGTCTTAGTTCTTCTATACGTGCAATAAATAAAAATATTTTCTTCACTTCTCTTTTCGTTTAATTTTAATTTTAGTTTTATGTTTTGAAACTTTTTTAACAAACTTTTAAGTTTTTTTTGCATCTTCTTTAGTAATGACCCTTATTATCTTTTGTTATTGTTACATATAAAATAAGTTACTAAACAATCAATTTAGTGATATATTCTTAAAGAGATATGTTAATTGATTCCTAGCATCAATTTATTTTAACATCATGTTAGTCAAATAACATTGTAATTTTTAAAGATAATTTTATTCAATAGCTACGTCAAATAAAGAAATTTATCATTGAAATTCGTAAATAACCATTAGTAAATTAGTAATAGTTATTAATTATACTTTTCATGTACTCTCATTTTCTTTCATTTTTGGCACATAAATCGCTAGTTGGGGGAAGTTGCAATCATTTCAAAAATTATTTAATGTTAAATATACCTCCAAACAGATATTTTGATTAAATTTTAACAAATAGCTCAGAAATAGAAATTTTAGTAAAAGCTAATTCATTTTCTATTAATTTCTTAAAATTTTGCCTTTTAAGTGTTAAGTTGCTTCTTTTACCTTTCCAATCTTCAGGAAAACAAATTATGATGTTATAATAACCCAATTTGAAGACGCAATTAGGATTAATATATTTTAAATGAGTATGAAGTTATAAACATCCTCAAAACTATATATTTTAAATTTTCATCTTTTAATTAGCATTAAAAAAGTCAAAATTGTGGGAGCATGTAATAAATATATATATGTATATATATATACATACATACATACATATATATATATATATATATATA